CTGACAAGTTCAAAGTCAAGGGGACACATCTTGTAGGGCCTTCTTACTGGTGGAAATGCTCTGCAGAGTCCCCAGGTCACCACATAATGAGAGGGTTGAGTGTGCTAGTTCAGGTCCCTCTTCCTCTTCTCATAAAGTCCCATTCACATGCTAACCCATTAATCTATGAGTGAATTAATCCATTCATGAGGGCCAAGCCCTCATGACCCAATCACTTCTTAAAGGCCCCACCTCTCAAAGCTGCCATATTGGGAATTAAATTCTGACATGAGTTTTGGAGGAGGCAAATATTCAAACTGTAGCAAAGAGTGTGAGTTGTTTTTGGGTATATTTTCCTAATGCCGATTGAGGGTCCTTGGGTTCTTTTAATATTATCGATTTAATAGCATTTGCTTTCTGTGTTTTTTATAATATGCCAATGTCACTTCTTAGGAAATGGCATACCATTGTGGATGGTTGGTACGTTCAAAACATCAGTTTTTTATGCTTATAAAATTTGCCTTGAATTTCAACATGTTTGTGAAGAGTAATGAAACGTTGGTTCACATAATAGCTTTTTAAATGAGAGGGAAAGTGTGGTTTGAAAGATTTGAGCCATATTTGTGACTACAATATGAATGTCACAAACCTGAAAGGTTACATTAGGAAAAGCTGAAGAGTCTCTTATCCCAGACTGTACCAATCAGTACCCACCATAAGATGATCAAAGGACATTCTAATTTTAAATTTCCCTTCCCTGACACTCCCTCAGTATTTTTTTAACCATGAAGTAATGTAAAAATGAGTCTTGAGACAGTTGAGAGATATGACTGAAATAAGCAATCACAAAAGTACTCCTTGTGGAGAAACAAGATTTGCCTTTATGATGGCAGAATGGCTAAACAGTGTTGTGTGCAGTGACTTTCAGGCCTCTTGTTAAGCACAAGCTAATGAATCCTCCCTATGCCTGTCATCTAGGCTAACCAGTACTGTCTGGTGCTTTGGGGCTGGCCACTTACCGTAGGAAGGCTCTGCTCAGATTATTAGAAAAAGTGCTTCTGCAATAATCACACCCTGCCCTCTGGTAAAAATTAGATATTACAGCCTTTACTAATTATAGGCTGGTGGCTCTGGTGCCCTTCCGATAGTAAGTTGCTTTGAGATCGATAGCAGCTGTAAATTGGGTAGTAAAATAAATCCAGAAGAGGCTTGTCAAGCTTTTCTTGCCCATAAAATGAAAATAAAATATCCTATTTGTGAAGTTCTACAGAAGGAAAAATTAGAAAGATAGTTCAAGTTGCTTAGTAAAGAGAAGTTTGCTGTCAAAACACGACCACATCAGCCACTGTTAAAACAAAAATGCAATCAGGAAAATTACTTGGAATGTTTATGTTTACTTCCAGTTTTGAAATTAGAACATCATGTTCCTTTGGGTTGTCATTCAAATTCTCTCTTCCTCTCCTGATTCCCATAAATGTAGTCACTGATAAACTGCTCTCTTTGGAAGTAGAATGACTACTCCAAAACTAATAATTTTTTTTCTTTTTTGAGAGTTTCACTGCCTGTATGAAGCCTGGAAATTATAAACGTGTCTAATTCAAGTTCTTTATTTAATAGATGTTTGTTTCTGACTTTATGACTATCATGTAAAATCTTTGCTGAGTATTATTGAACCACCTTAGTTTCTTTTTTTTTTTTTTTGAAGTTCCAGTGGGCTTTTATTGAGATAAATTCACAAAAATCAAGATTTTACCATGTTTTTTGAATCAGTTAAAGAAAAAATGTCCGAGCTCAAGTCTTTATAATTCCAAAATAAAAGATGAAAAACCCACAAAGAGAAGAGCATTACCCCCAAAACGATGAGTCACAGATCCAAACCAGCCTTCTGTAAGTTTGTCAAAGCGTGCTTGCTAAGGTTTCTCATCTTCTACAGGCTCGCTGTGGTATTCTGCCACATACAGGCTCTTGTCACTGTTGCTTGGAATAGGTTTTCTTTCTGTTCCCAGTTGCTCCTCGATACTTTTCAGGTTGAAGCGATCATCATACGTGATCGCCAGGCGCGGTGGCTCACGCCTGTAATCCCAGCACTTTGGGAGGCCGAGGCGGGTGGATCACGAGGTCAAGAGATCGAGACCATCCTGGTCAACACGGTGAAACCCCGTCTCTACTAAAAATACAAAAAATTAGCTGGGCATGGTGGTGCGTGCCTGTAATCCCAGCTACTCAGGAGGCTAAGGCAGGAGAATTGCCTGAACCCGGGAGGCGGAGGTTGCGGTGAGCCGAGATCTCGCCATTGCACTCCAGCCTGGGTAACAAGAGCGAAACTCCGTCTCAAAAAAAAAAAAAAAAAAAAAAAACATCATATGTGATCAAGTTGATGGCCAAGCCAAGATGACCAAAGTGACCTGATCTTCCAGTATGAGGGAGATAGGTCTCTGCCAGCTTTGGGAAATCAAAGTTTATTACCACATTCACAGCTTGTATATCAATACCTCGGGCAAACAGATCAGTGCAAACAAGATTGCGGCATAAGCCATTTCGGAAATCATGAAATACACGATTTCGATGTTCCTGCCTCATTTTAGCATGAATACAGAAGCAAGAATAACCCATTGAGAACTCTTCTTGGCTAGCAATGCAACTCGCTGAGAGGAGTTACAGAAAATATTGATTGGTTTATCTGAAGCCCTGAGAAAAGTGTGTTGAGGCAGTGTACTTTTTGGCGCTCAGTTACATATGCATAGTACTGGGTTACTCTCTTCAGAGTTAGTTCCTCCATCAGGTCAATCTCATAGGGTTTACTGCAAATGGGAATTCATGAACTTCTGTACACTAAGAGGGAAAGTAGCAGAATATAGTAAAATCTGCCTATTTTTAGGTAGCATGAGAATAATATCCTCCATTTTCTGCATAAAATCCTGTGACAGCAACTTATCTGCCTATCCAATACTATCATCTGGACATGATCAACCTTTGCTACTCCTTTCTTGATAGGATCCAGGATTCTCCCAGGGGTAGCAATCACTGTATCATCAAGCCACATCTTGTAAAGTGGTTCCTCTGGTGGTTGCCATCACTTTGGCCCCTCCCATGTGTTTGCTGTCCTGGTTGCAAATTTGACTGACCTATAGAGCAAGTTCTTTGGTGGGAACGATCACCATTGCTTGTATATGGTCCTTCTTCAGGTCTAGCCATTCAAGTAAAAGAATGAGGTAGGCACCGCTCTTGCCTGTTCCATTTTTCGCTCTAGCTAAGATATCCCTACCAGATAAAGCAATGGGAATGCTCTCCTCCTGAACAGGAGATGGCTTTTCCCAGCCCATTTCAAAAATTCCCATCAGTAACTCCCTTTTCAAACAGTAATCCTCAAACTCATGTCCTTTTGTGGAGGTCACGTCCGAAGTTTTGATTCTTAGATCCTTTGGAGGGAGTTTCAAAGTCTTTTTCCAGTCATCACCAGGCCTAATAGTGGTGGTCATACTCTGTGTTGGCTGCTGAATGCCATTATTGATTGTGTTGGTGTTTTGCAGCTGGTTCATCTGTTGCTGTGTCGGTGTGCCCCCTCCTCCAGGGCCACCACTGGATTTCACAGGGTCCCTCAGCTGACCATTTTGACTGGACAGATCCATTATAACAGGGTTCTCTGTTCTGGCTGTGCTCATGCTGTTTTAGTTGCAAAGGTGTCTTTCAAACTTCAAAACTTTTGAAAGTCAGTAGAGAAACTGTAATAACAGTTTATTAGACTCTCCAAAATGAAGAGATAAATATAAGTCTAGCTCAGTAAATGAATCCTTTATTGCAATGCAGGCAAACACCTGTAAGTCTCTGAACGGTAAGCAGCAGTAACTTGCTCTCTTGCACGGAATCAGCTTTTTGTTTTTAAAAGGCCCTTTAACAAGCTTGAGTTATTTCTGAATTCACTCACATCAATCTCTGAGTGTGGGGGCCAGAAGTGGGACTCCCATCTTAGTTTTTAAGTCAAAAGCTCTAGATGCTGAATCAGAGTTTGACCCTTTCTTTTGCAGTCAACTTGCTTAATTAATGCCCCAGCCCAACCAGGACCTTTCCATACAGCATCCTTGATAAATCCTATTTCAGCTTGGGTTTTGGTGACTTAGAACTCAGTGCTTTGTGAGTAGAGAAACACCATTTTCACAGCTGTTCTACACATCTGTACAGTCCTTCCTTATATTTATTTACCTACCACAACCCCGCACCCCTACCTTCCACCTGCCTAGTTCTGTCTTTTGGAGCAAACAATGTCTAGGCATTGAGCCAGGCCAGTAAGTGCACTAGTTGCACGTCAGCTGACAGGTTAAAAAAAAGGTTAGTGATCCATCCAGGTGAGGGCAGCTATTCTCACCTAGGGACAAGCCTCTATATTACAGTAAAGTCCAAATTCTGTTTTCATTGTCTTTAGCCCTTCCTTTTGTTTTCTCTCAGGCTTATCACTTTTTAATTTTTTCCTCCAAATGGAAAAAAACATGATCAACTCAAGAGACACAGGAAGATAAGTGCTGGGATTACAGGACAGAGCACCCTTACCTCTGGTTCTGTGTAACACACTGCACAAGCGAAGAGAACTATTACCTTCCCGGCAATGTCCTGCCATGCTGCCCACGTTCCCCACGATCTTGTGTGTGTGAGTGTGTAATCATTTTAATCAAATTCTAATCCCAGCCTTGGGCTCCATTTTCCAGCTGGGGAGTGACTGAGAGGCGCTGGGTGGGGAACAACCATCTGAAAAGGTGACATAAACCTCAATTCCAGGAGAACCTAGCTCAGATGCAACATTCTCATATGGCTCCAAGACCAAGCAACAATCTCGCGAGACAACTGGGTCAATGGTGCAGGGAGAGGTTCGTGGTCGCGCCGCAAGGGGGAGCTCGCGTTTGCGGAGCCCGGCGTCTGCTCGTGGGCGTGCTCGTGGGCGTGCGCGTGGGCGCGGGCGTAGGCACAGACAAACGGCTGCCTGTTAAGTGTCCTTGACCCGTTGGGTTGTCCGAATCGCGTTTGAGGCCATGGGCGACAGGTATGCTGTACTTCGGCGGGCCCAGCTGCACCTGGATTTCATCCACGCCAACTCGTGAGTGCCGAGGTGGGGTCGGGGTGGGGGAGGGTCTCCGTGCCTTGAAGAAAGGTCCTGTCGGTCCCCCGAGGAAGTATTCAACAAGTGAGCTTGGTATTGCAGATTTATGGATTTATTTGTTTATTTGAGTTGTACAGGCCTTTTTAAAATGATGAACGCATGATGAAGGTCTATTTTGGGCCAGGCCGAACCCTTTTTTTTTTTTTTAATTGATTACTTAATTACTTATGATTTTCTTGCTGTTATTTATTTATTTATTTGAGACGGCGTCTGGCTCTGTTGCCCATGCTGGAGTGCAGTGGTGCAGTCTCAGCTCACTGCAACCTCCGCCTCCTGGGTCCAAGCAATTCTCCTGCCTCAGCCTCTTGAGTAGCTGGGATTACAGGCTCCCACCACCATGCCCAGCTAATTTTTATATTTTTAGTAGAGACAGTGTTTCCCCATGTTGGTCAGGCTGGTCTCAAACTCCCGACCTCAAGTGATTCGCCCGCCTTGGCCTCCCAAAGTGCTGGGATTACAGGCGTGAGCCACCACGCCCAGCTTGTCTTTTTTCTTTTTGTAGCCTTCCTAGTATAGAAAACACAAAGTGGTTTCTCATGGTGGTTTTGATCTGCATTTCCCTAATGACTAATGTTGAGCATCTTTTCATGAGCTTATTGGCCATTTGAACACCTTTGAAGAAATGTCTGTTCAAATTCAAGTCCTTTGCCCATCTTTATTTAATTAATTAATTAATTTATTTTTTATTTTTTAAATGAATAGATAATGGTTATTTATTTGTGTGTTGGTTTAGTCAGTTAAATTTTGCATTCTTTGCAATACAAACTCTTCAGGGTATCAGTTGCTCACTGTCCCCTCCCATATCCCTCTCATCCTCCCACAAGTTTTACCTATATAAAGACCAAATATCTCCTCACAATATTAACCAAACTTTTTAAAAAGAACATTAGATAGCAGTTCTCTGTCTCTGGGAAAGCAGAAACTTTAGCAATTAATTAGCTTTTGTTTTTCCATATAATAAGCATAGAAAGCGGTAATACCTTTTTTTTTTCTAGCTGCAAGACAATAGCTTGTGTATCTTATTTTTTTTTTTAATTGCATTTTAGGTTTTGGGGTACATGTGAAGAACATGCAAGATTGTTGCATAGGTACACACATGGCAGTGTGCGGGCCGAACCCTTTTGGTGCTCTTCAGCGAACACCAAGTGGTTGGAAGGCCCCACATTTACCGTTGAACTCAACTGTTTAATTGCTGGTCATCAGAACCGTGATTCCACCAATCCTGCCTGACCTTAGTCTGCCTAACACAGTGGCATTAAAGATGGACGGTGCTCTTCAAGCAGAGTAATTTGCATATATTGATTTCAAACTCTGTGAGTCTTTCCAAAAATGTAACCTCTCTAAGAATAGGAATCTCACATTTTAGTTGTCATTTGGTCATTTCTTCTTCTCTGCGATGTCTATCTGCCTTTTAGAGCTTCTCATTAGGTGTCATTTTGGATCCTGAGATTGCAGAGACAAATGACAGAGGTTTGCTCTCTCATCTGCTGTTTCCCATACAGTGAATTATATCAGTTAGTGCTGTTTAATTCACAATGATACGTCAGAGTTTTTCTTTTTTTGGCATCTTTTGGTAATTTGGATTTACTAAGTATAGGAACTGATATCAGGGATGTACCAAACTTGAAACCACAGAGATGGGGGTATAAAGAAACCAGGGAAGGCCAGCCTTGCTGTGTGGGACAGACTGTATAATTTTAACACAGCAGAGTTAAACAGGCAATATTCTGCAGACACTCAGTTTTTATCTCTCTATAGAGAATGATGTCAAGTGGGAAAAGGTGGAACAAATAGTTGAAAGGCAGCTGAGGTGGAAGACAAATGAAGAAATAATCGTTTCGAGTGAGCTTAAGAAAAATGCTCAGTGGGGTGCTGGAAGGACTGTGAATTTTATCTCAGAAAAATTCCTTGGCCTCAGTTTTGCATGGATTTTGTGGCCACTGCCACACAGCCTCCGTTCCCCCAAACACACTGTGGTAGCCACTTCTCTAGTGCTGTTTTCAACTGGTGGTGTAGTAACTTAACAAGAGTGACAGCAACATGAAGTAACAACAAAGTTAAATATGAATTGAAGACTTCTCAGCTTCTCTAGGCAGATTGGTTGGTTGAAGTCTGTTTTTGGAGACAGGGTCTTGCTCTGTGGCCCAGGCTGGGGTGCAGTGATACCATCATACTACTCTGCACCCTTGAACTCCAGGGCTCAAGTGATCCTCCAGCCTCAGCCTTCTTAGTAGCTGGGACTACAGGGATGCACCACTGTGCCTGACTAATTATTATTATTTTTTAAAATTTTTAGTAGAGGTGGGGTTTGGTGATGTTGCCCAGGCTGGCCCTGAACTCCTGAGCTCAAGTGATCCTCCCACTTTGGCCTCCCAGAGTGCTGGGATTACAGGCATGAGCCACTGAGCTCAGCCCAGGTAGATTTTTGTTTGAGACTTCCTTCTGCAAAAGGAGTGATATTTAAATTTCTCCCTTTACTTTTCCTCCATGTCCAATCCTTCAAGTGCATGCTTTCTCTAAATGTATGAAACCATCTATTTCTCTGTCTCCACTGCTATTGATTTTAGCCTAAGCCACCACCATCCCTTTTCCAGTCTACCCCACACAGCCTCTTAACCGGGTTCTCTGCTTACCATCCTGGCTGCTTGATGGTTTATTTTCCAGGAAAGCTGTCAGAATGAGCTTTTTAAATAATATAAACCAGATTATGCCTCAATTCTTGAAACACTGCAGTGGTTTCCAGTTGTATGTCGGCCAAGTACAAGCGCTTCTCTGTGGGATGGGAAGCCCTGTATGACCCAACCATGGCCTCATCTCAGCCTGTTCTCGGCATTTTACCATCAGCAGAGCTGGCTGGTCTCCTTAGCTCTTTTTCTGCTTCGAGGGTCTTTGCATCTCCTGCTCTTGCTAGAAAATTTCCACCCTACTCTGCAAGGGACTGAATTCTCTCATTCTTCAGGACTCAGTTTAAATATCTTTTACCAAGAGATGCTTTACCTACCACCAAGCCCTTCCTCACCAGTTACTCTTTCCCATCACTACTACTAAGTTAGCACCCAATCAACATCTGTAATATCATCTTCGTAAGTTTGTTTATTTGTGCATTTTCCACGTACCCTGCCAGCTTGAGCTCCAAGACATCAAAGACCCTGCCTGTACACACTGCCCCGTGGTATGCAGTGAAAGTCTCTTGCATGAACTAGTGCAAAAATTCATATGACGTTTTTGGTCAGAATTACTGCAGTTGCTCTTCTAAAGGATTGTTTATGTATTGAATTTCTGTATATTGAGTCATGTATTTTAAATTCCCTAGAAGGGCCTGTGATTTAAAGTCCTGATTCTGTAAAGCATATCATACTTCTCTTTGACACTATTTTACATTTTTATAATTTTTTTTTTGGAGTGAAGGACATCTTTTTGTAATAATATTTTAGTAGTTTTTTTTCTTAATTACAAAATTTAAAGCTCACCTGACTCAAGAGACTTTTAATTAGCCTCGATATTTGAAACTCCAAAATATGGGGATATTTTCTCTCTCTCTCTCTCTCTCTCTCTCTGTGTGTGTGTGTGTGTGTGTGTTTTAAAAATAAATTTTAAGCTGAAGTGTTGTCCTGTGGCCTGAAGTGTTTGGAGACTCTGAGACCTTGCCGATGATGCTTTCTCTTGTACAGAAGAGCAGATGTGTTTTTGATAAATGAGGCTCTCTTGCTTCTGTTACCTATTTACTAAATATAGAAAGAAAATTGCATACTGAATATCCCCTTAATGCTGTGATAAGGTTGCTGATTGAAATATCCGCATCAGGAAATGGAAGGCAAGCATGGACTCTCAAGGTAGTGTGATTCCACCCTCAGATAACTCCAAACTGTTGTAAACACTGAAGGCTGTCTGGAGTGTTCTGTTACCGAGGACCTGGCATTCAAGCGTACAGGAGAGAGTGACCTGAGGCCATTTCTGAGGTTATTTAAGGAGCAGGCTTTTCAGCGGTGGAAAGATTCCACAGAAAAACACAGATTGGTGAGGCATGCAAGGGCTTCCTGCCAGTTCCTTTGCCTGCAGATGGAGCCTTATGGCCTTTTAGTAGGCAAGGATTTTGATCAGTATTCTTCAGAAATATTTTGTCTTTAAATAATAGAATTTTAATGAAAAAATCCTCTCGGAAAAACCTCACTTGAAAATATGCTTATAAAGCAATATTAAAAGGTCAAAGTTTAGGCCAGGCATGGTAGCTCATGCTTGTAATCCCAGCACTTTGGGAGACCAAGGCCGGCCAGTCACCTGAGATTGGGAGTTCGAGACCAGCCTGACTAACATGGAGAAACCCTGTCTCTACTAAAAATACAAAATTAGCTGGGCATGGTGACACATGCCTGTAATCCCAGCTACTTGCGAGGCTGAGGAAGGAGAATCACTTGAACCTGGGAGGCAGAGGTTGCAGTGAGCCGAGATCGCGCTATTGCACTCCAGCCTGGGCAACAAGAGTGAAACTCCGTCTCAAAAAAAAAAAAGGTCAGAGTTTATTTTAATAATACGTACTGAGGCTCTTAAGTTTTTATTAGAAGTGGACAGGATATTTTGGCAAAAGTATTTTTAAACCTGGCTTCATAATGGAGGGCATCTAGTTCCGAATCTTGACCGTGCTGAAAAAGTTGTTTCTAGAGTAACTTCTTAATTCACTAGACGTCTGGAACTAGAGATCATTTATCTGCAAGTACTTGAAGGTTTTACATTGATTTCACACCTGGTTTAACTTTTTGTTTTCTCTTCATTTCTTCACCAGCACCACTCACAGTTTCCTTTTTGGAGCACTGGCTGAATTGCTGGACAATGCAAGGTAAGGTTTATCTCTGAACAAAGGTTATTGAGGGAATTTCATGACATAACTCTTGTCTAGTTACCTGTGAAGAAAAAAAGATCATGTCATATTTTCCCATCTGGAATGTTTTGTGATTGATTTCCTGTAAAATCAAGGTATTCTAGGAAAAAGGATAGTTGAAAGAAAGAATTATTCACCTTTGATTAATTTTTATGTATGATCAAACTTGAAGTCTGATTTTATGTTAATAACCATTTAATAGTACATATTCATTCAGTGTTTTTGAATTACATGTCAGCGTATGCTTGTCTTGAGAATTTACATATGGATTTGGGCGTTTATTGAAGTCTGCGTTGAATTTCATTGTACAGTTAAGAAAATAACTAACTGTTCTTGATCTCTTACTATGTATCAGACATACATAAACACTTTATATATGAGCATTATATCATGCATCCTTATGGCAACATGCTGAGATGGGAATTAATTTCCTAGTTCCACATATGTGGAAATTGATCCACTGAGAGATTAGATGTTTTATTCAAGGTCACATAACTTATATTTGGCAGAGCTAGCATTCAAATTTGGGCGATCTGTCTGCATGCGGAACCCCACTGCCACATTTTACTGTTTCCAATATAGGTATTGATGATGAAGGAACCCCTTAAACAGTTTTAAGTTCTATTCAGTAGTTTATTTGTGGGGCCTTGCAAGGTCTTTATTTATTTATTTATTTATTTATTTTAGTTAAATTGAATAGAGCATTTGACTTGATTTCTATTGGTATTCCGTATAATAGAAGACTTTTTCCTACCTTTTCCTGTGAAAGCAAAGTCCATCCTGGAAGTAGTATACAGCTGTTAGATCAAGGATCTCAGTAGGAGCCTAAATTCCCTGCCACAGGTTGACAGCAATATTTTAGCTTTTTTGCATGTGTTCTTCATTTTTTGCTTTAGATGGGAGATGCTCCTATTGAAAGTGTGACCACAAAGCGTAGTCAGTGAACCAATCATCCAGAAATTCCTGTCTGGCACTAAGTAGAAAGTTATTATCTCCTCCTTTTTGGAAGCTCTCTCTCTGTTGAACTGATGGAATCACAAAAAGGGAGAGAAGAGGAGAAAACGAATAAAGTCTGTTGTTCAGAGCCATGAACTCAGCTTGCAAGGAGCTAATAAGGATGGAGCCAAGACAGATGAACACTTCTGATTAGTTTCCCTAAAGGAGCTTAGTGTTGATACTGTTGCTTGTGTCCAAAGCTTGGAACCAGCAGGGTTCCTCCTGTGTCATTGGTCCTGCCTCCTACTGAATGGCCCACATTCAGCAACTTGACATCTGCAAGTCTGAAAGAACACATTTGTCTATTTTTGCAACTGTCTTTTCTCCTTTGAAGTTGTTTCTTTCATTCATTCAACAAAGGAGGACAAGTAAAATCAGAATGTGGAAGAAATAGAACAATGGAACCAGTTTACGTAGTAGAGGGTGATTGGGTGATTGGGAAAGAAAGATTGACTTCAGACACAGGGGACTGAAAGAAATGTGATCAATAAAGTAATCCTTAGAGCAGCATTTGTAAGCTGGCAGCCCCTTGACCAGGTCCAGCCTGTCTTATGTGTGTTTGGCTCATAGTGAAAGTTTGTACAGTGTTTATAAAAAAGGAAGGGAGGAAAAAGGAATTGTTTATAGGTTTAAGATGTTAGAGATACCAAATAAAAAATTTGGGCCCACTGCCTTCCTTGAAAGATTAGAAGTAGCAACCTCAAGGCCACATTCCTCCACGGGATCAGGGGCTGGAGAGGAGTAGCAGGTGCTCTCTTGGGACCAGCCCCTGCCTTCGCCTTTGCCCCACTTCCAGTTTTCCCCCATGGGCAGCCTCAACCCTTCAGTCCCTCTTTCTTCATGGACATTTGAGTTTTCCACCGCTGCTTAGATGCTAGTATTTGACATCAAAAGAAACTGTTTAACAGACTTACTCAAGATACTCAGTTGGTCTTCTGAAGGAGAGCTTTACGAAGTCCCCATGTTATTCTAAGAAATTATTTTATGTCATTGTATTCAACATTTTAACAATTTCCTGTAGTTTTAAAAATTAGAATGGAAAGATATTAAAAGAATATTGCATAGAGAGGAGAAGAATATGTGGTGATGTAGGAAGGATTTGTTAGGGCTGTCTTCCTAATGCAATAGCTCTTCAGAGAGGAAGTATCCTGGACTAAAGAACAATGATTATTATAAAATGTCTTAATATATGATAAAGGTGAGCTATTTTATGCCTTATTTCATGGAAATGCTACATGAAAAACTCTCTCTTTAAAAACTTTGATTTCAGTACAGTGGCGTTTATTAAGCATTTATTGTGTACATGGTACTTTGTGTAATGTATTATTATATGATGGAGATACTGATACCTATGTGTTATGGAACTATGGTAAGGATTAGAAGAGAATTTTCACAAATACATCGTTCAGTGCTTACTTGGCACATAGGAGGTGCTCAGGAAATGGCAGTGGTGACTCTGGAGTGTTATACAGGGAGGGCTGAGAAGCAGCAATTGGCTAGAGGAAGAAGCTATATGGGACTAACTTCTAGGCTTGTGGAGCGAGTACAGTGTACCTTCTCAGATTTGTTTGGGCTAGTTTTGGGTTCATAACTGATGGAAACTGAGAGAGACTCAGGTTTCCTCACCAGAGTTATGTGGTTGCTATTGTTGCACTGAGCTTCCTTGTAGACTCACTCCTTCCTCAGCATACCTTCTTCCTCATCAGCGAAGACTTCCTTGCCTTCCTCCTTTCTCTCACATCCACGATATTGAAGCCACAGTCTTCCGGCCTCTTCTCCTTTCCTATTAAAAATTTTACTTTTGAAAGTAATTGTAAAAAAATACAAAAATAATAACTGTGAATTTTAGAAAATGGAGAAATTATTTAAAAAAAAACTATTCTACATCAGTATTCTCATCACCTTAGAAGAGGGATCAGCATCCTTTTCTGTAAAAGACTGGATGGTAAATATTTTCACCTCTATTGGATATAGGGTCTCCTTTAAAACTACTCAACTCTGCCATTGTAGTGCGGAGGCAACCTTAGGTACTATGAAATGAATGGGCATGATTGTGTTCCAATAACACTTTATTTGCGAGCAGCTGATGGGCCATTTTGATCCATGGGCTATAGTTTTCCAAGCTCTAACATAGAGAAAACTCCTATTCACATTTGGATGTCTTTCTTTTCATATATGTTCTTTAAAATGTCTTCTTACAGTGCCTAGTAATTCGATTTTTCTTTTTTTTTGTTTTGAACTAAAATATGAAAAACATTCCATGACTTCTGGATTATTTGCCAGTCAGCTTTGTTTTTTTTTTTTTTTTTAAATTTTAAACATTTTGTTAGTTTTTTGTGTAATTTTCACTTAATTACGTCTCTTTTTTCATATGTCTGAGTTGCAGTCTTTTGAATATTCTAAATTATGACTCAAAATCACAGGTCTTATGATATAATAGCACAGTTGAATATTTTATAAATTGATTTTGAAGTAATTTAAGTGAATTTTTGTATTGTTTGATATCTGACAATAAATAGGTTATACCTCATGTAACAGCAGTTCATTTCATTTAAAGCAATAATATTTTCATATTGTTTCCAGAGATGCAGGGGCTGCAAGACTTGATGTGTTTTCAGGTGAGCAGATTTTCTTTTTTCTTTTATTTTCTTCTAATGGAAAGCCATAGTTATTTAGCTTGTATTTTATTTCACGAAATAAAAGCACATTCTATAGAATTTTAATGTAATCTGAGTGCTTTGTGAGTACAGTGACCCTGTGGGTAGCCAGGGTGAGGAAAGTGTGCTCTGAGAGTCCAATTGTTTGTGTGCTAAAGGACCCATTTACAAAATTAGATCTTCCAGAGTTTTGTGAAGGTATCAGAGTGATTTGGAGCACTCCATTTACCTGCCATGAGAAATAGTTTTATTTTAAAAAGCATATTAACTTAATGGTTTTTCATAATGAAGCATACATCATTCCCAACTTATTAGTTTTAAAGTGTGTAAGTGCATGTGCAGTATGAGGGCTAGAAAATCCAAACCAAACCTGTTTTCTTTGCTGACTTTATTTGTAGTCATCAAGTATTTATTGCTCTCATTAGTTATGTCATTAGACTATGATGCTAATGAAATTAGGTTCTGTGATCCAGCTCTGTGGGTAACACTACGTAGAGAAATGCCCAGGAAGTCACGCTGCATTCCTACCATATGTCTGTCAGCTCTTCTGCAATAGTGGCTGTTGTTCACAGGTGATAGGATATGGTCCATGATCTAAATCCGTATCTCTGTGTAAAAAGCACCTCAGTTAACTGAGTGTTCTGAGCCAGAGGAGAGCTTATGCTTCATGAAAGAGATCGTCATGGACCTCTTGAGATAACTGGGGAAACAATAAATGACACTCTTCATCTCCTTCTCCTCTCCAGGTCCTAAAAAACTTGAGAAATAAAAAAAGAGTCAGCTTTTATTGCTGATAAAGGTTAGGCTGGAGTATGTAGCTTAGTGTGAGAGAGCACACGGACTTACAGAGCAGACCCCGGGATCACGTGGTCTCACTGGCCTAGTGGAGTCGGGCTTCCCCTGAAACTCCTCTGCCCTGGGACAAGGGATCAGGACTCATCCTCTCCACAGGCAGCTCTCTCCAAGAGGAAAATGCAGGGTCAGAACTGAGCCTCCCCAGTTTATTCTTCTCTAAGCGACCAGTAGGTGAGTGAACTCACCTCTACCAGGGAAAAGTGAGTGAGGGCACAGAATAGGGCCTCTCTGGTGAGAAAAAGTCATCTTCCCTTCCATATCCAATTATATTGAGTAAAATAGGATGAACACTCTGGCGTAGGAGAGACTTAAAGTATGGTGGGAACACAGAGAAAGAAGAAATTATGCCTCATATTAAGGGGCTAGGGCTTGAAATATGGATGTGATTTTTGTCAGATACTCCAGGAAGAAAAGAATATTCCTGTCTAAATAATAATTATGAGAAAACAAATGAAGGTAGACTAGTTCAAAGATTCATTAACTTATTCAGTAATAATTTGTTGTCTATTATTCAAGGTACTGGGGATAGTGCACTCAGCAAAATGTTGAGGTCTGTGTTCCCCTGGAACATGTATCCTAATGGGGAGAGAGAGACAATACAGAAATGAACAAATATGTAATATACCAGGCAACGACAAGGGCTAAAAGGGAAAACAAAAAAGCAGGACAAGAGAACAGAGAGTGATGGAAGGGGTATACAGTTTTTCACATGGTGGTCTAAGAAGGTTTCTTTAAATAGCTCACATACCAGCAAAGACCTGAATGATATGAGGGAGGGAGACACACAGATTCCTGGAGAAAAAGCGCTTGGCGAACAATGCTGAGGCTCAGTTGATTCACTCTGAGTGTCAGAACCAAATGAACGAGCATCTTCAATACCATTCTAAGGTTATTCTGCAGTCAGTGGACCATGAAGAACTTGGAGCAGTGTCGGTTTTCTATGTAGACATGTGCTCTTCTCTTTTTTAAAGAAAAATACTCATTCCAGGAATACCTTACAAGATAGTCTGGAGAAGGATGAAAGCAAGGATAGCAGGGAGGTATGGCTATGGGAATTACCTAGGCAAGATTTCATGAGAATTATAGTAGAGCGATAGTACTAGAAATGGAGGAGGAGGAACAGATGTAAGCTGCATTTCATGCAGAGCACATGCACGGTTGATGGAGAGTTCAGAAGACTTATCCATAGTCACAAAATACAGCAAATGTCATCAGAATTCACACATTCTATTCTTTGGGGTTTGTAACTGGACACCAGCAGGGAATGATTATTTCACCCTACTTTCCCTAAATACTTGGCATCATCATAAACAAGCAATATAAGATCTTGACCAATTTGAGATAAAAGTGGCACTTCTTTTTTTTTTTTTTGAGATGGAGTTTCACTCTGTTGCCCAGGCTAGAGTACAGTGGCACCATCTTGGCTCACTGCAACCTCTGCTTCCCAGGTTCAAGCAACTCTCCTGCTTCAGCCTTTCGAGTAGCTGAGATTACAGGCATGTACCACCACGCCTGGCTAACTTTTGTATTTTTATTAGTGACTGAGTTTCACTGTGTTGGCCAGGCTGGTCTGGAACTCCTGACCTCTATTGATCATCCGCCCACCTCGGCCTCCCAAAGTGCTGGGATTACAGGCATGAGCCACCGCTCCTGGCCGGCACTTGTTTCTTTTTTGTGTTTATGTATATATTGTGAAAAACTGTTCAGTTTGGTTTAAAATTACCTAATCTTAGTTTAGGGACATGGATGAACCTGGAAACCATCATTCTCAGCAAACTGACACAAGAACAGAAAATCAAACACCGCATGTTCTCACTCATAGGTGGGTGTTGAACAATGAGAACACATGGACACAGGGAGGACAGCATCACATGCTGGGGTCTGTCAGGGGGGAAATAGGGGAGGGACAGTGGGGGATGGGGAATTGGGGAGAGATAGCGTGGAGAGAAATGCCAGATATAGGTGATGGGGAGGAAGACAGCAAATGTGTACCTATGCAAGTCTTGCATGTTCTTCACATGTACCCCAAAACCTAAAATGCAATAAAAATAAATAAATAAAATCCAAGGGTGGCGACCAGATGCCAACATATTAAAGTACCATTTCCAACAACGGATTAAAAAAAGAAATCTTGGTACAATTATTATGTGTCAATTAAAATAAAACTTAAGAAAACTTGTACCACTTGAAGATAAATGCAAAGCGTTTCCACTCAAACTCCCCAAAGAAAGGAGACTGTGGTATAGTGTTGAACAAAGGCCACTTATATCTGTGATCCTAGATAGTCCTCTCCCACATTTACTCTGGGCTTTGCCATGGGACTTGCTTTGGCCAACGGGACAATGGTAAGAATGACACAAATGAAGACCCAGAATGCACTTGCATGTTGAGGCTTGCCTTTTCTTGCTGCCTTGGAGACTCTAAGGCTGTTATCATGAGAATAAGCCTGGGCTAGGCTGGTGGAGACATGTGGTTCAGTCACTCCTGCCCTCTCACCAACTGCCAGCACCAAACACTTCACATGTGAATGATTCCACCAGGTGAACCAGCTTTGGGCCAATCCACCAGCTGGCTGAAAAAGTATACGTGAGCCCAGGCAAGCCCAAAAGAAAAGCCAACTGAGCCCAGCCCAAATTGCCAGCTGACAGAATCACCACCTAATAAATTATTATTGATCTAAAAAAAAAATTACCTAATCATGTTATAACATGTTTTATTGAGGCAAGCCATCATATGGCTGTCAACCTAGCCCAAACTGATTTTCTAAAAAAAAGGCAGTTAAAAAAGTCAGGGACTATGCTTATGTATCAATACATAGAATTAGTCTCAAGATACAAAGTTCATCTAGGATTGGACTATTTTTCAGTTTATTTACTGTGGCCTTGAATTATTGTCAATCTTAAATTTCTGCCTAGTAATTTGAAGGCTATAACATTCAAATGAAATATGTTTCACCGTGGTATTTTATATGTTCGTGTGTATTAGTTCCAGTAAACATGGATATGCATTCAGTACCTATATTTTAGTGCTTACTAAATGCCAGGCACCAGGCTAGGTGCTGGGTTTACACTCTTAAGGAACTGACATTCTAGTGTGGAGCCCGTGAGAAATGTAATGTGTAGCTGTATTTTGGTGGGTAGAGGGCCCGTAGCTTTCCTCATATCTGTGAGGTAACTGTGTTCCAAAAAAGTGTAGGAACCACTGAAAGACAAATAGATATATGAACAGGTATTTTAATACACTACAAAGGTGGGAAAACAGAGATAAAAGGGACATTAATTATGGGCACTAAGGACATGGAAGGATTAGAAAAGGCTTCCTAAAAGAAGTCTTATATGAACTAATTGAAAGAGAAAATAGGCACTGGTCTGGTGAGTGAAGCATGGAAAGGATGGAAGGGCATTATGTACAGCAACTGGAATATGGAGAGAATGTAGAAAAAAATGTTGGAGACGTTAAAGATTCATTCAAGGGGAGTATTTGTGTGGGAGTGGAAGGTGGCAGCATGGGTAGGTGAGGGGAGGACAAGAGATGGATTTGGAGAATTATCCAGAGGGCCAGGTCATGGAGGGCAAACAAGATTTGTTAGGTGGTTGGCTTTTATCCTGAGAGCAGTGGGAAGCCATGGAGAGGCTTTAAGCAGGAGAGCAGTGAAATGCACCGCTGATAGAGGGCTAGATGCACCCTTTGACTGTAGGGAGAGCAAGAAGGTAGGGAGCTGTTGTGATCCAGAAGAGAGATGGTGGTTTCCTGAAATAAGGCAGTATACTGGGGAAAGGGAAAGTGGTTAAACAGGAGATTCATTCAGGCAGTGAAGCTGAGAGGACTAGATAGTTGCCCGTGTGTGGGGTGAGGAGATGAAGAATGTAATGGTGATCCTGAGGTGTTGACTTGGACAACTGAAGCCAAGGGGCAGGGTGCTGCCATTTATTGAACAGGAAACAAGGAGGAGGAGAAAGTCTAATGTGGGAGGAGGTGTTTGATTTGTATTAGACATGCATAATTAACAGGTGATAAAATATACCTGAAATTCATAGTGTTAAGGAATTGAAATAAGGCCAGCTTTCAGAGTGGATAATGGGGAGTATTAAATTTTTGGGCTATACTTGTTTGTCTTTAATTCCTAATAGGGATTCACAAAAAAGGGAGGTACTGTAGCATATGTCTGCTAGGAATCTTGGGTCTTTCCCAGCCGTTTACTGAAGGAATGTCTTTCTCTCTGCAAGCTCCGTCCATGAGAAATATATACCAAGAAGTGCAAACTCAGCTGTGGCTACTATGCAAAGCTGCCCAAGGCTGAACCTGGTTTTGCATCAGGTGGTTCCCAATCCTGGATGAACATTAGAATAAACGAGGGGGATTTTAGAAGAAAATACCAATTTCTGAACCCTATCCAAGATCAGTTACATTAGAATATCTGTAGTTGATTTCAATGTGTAACCACGATTGAGCGTTACTGCCTTTATTCAGAGAGCTCAACAGAGTTGGAGTTCCCTCATTGAACAGTGAAGAAATGTCTGCCCTAGAGGGAGGACTGAACAGAATAAATACCTTAAAGGGGGAGGGGACAGATGTCCTGGCACAGAAGTTAAGGTAAGCAGACCAGAGGACTAGGCAGAGAGAAAGAACTGGGAAAATGAAATGGTAGGTTAGATCCTAAAAGTTTACAAAGAAGTAAATTAGAGGAGGGGGGATTAGAAGTGGGCACATGACCATAAAATTATAAACCCAGAAAGATTGAGTATGTTTTATAAGTATGTATTCATGTGCTCTCTTGAAACTTACTTTTTAAAATATCACTTCTAGGTGTTTTTTTTTTTTTTTTTTTTTTGAGACAAGGCCTCTTTCTCTGTTGCCCAGGCTGGAGTGCAGTGGAATGGAGTTCATAGCTCACTGTAAACTCGAAGTCCTGGACTCAAGTGATGTCATTGCTCCAGCCTCCCAAGTAGGCAGGATTATAGGCATGCACCACCTTGCCTTTGCCTGGCTATTTTTTTATATTTAATTTTTAGTGGCCATAGAGTCTCACCATATTGCCCAGGCTGGTCTTGAATTCCTGGCGTCAAGCCATTCTCCCTACTTGGCCTCCCAAAGTGCTGGGATTACAGACATGAGCTACCACGTCTAGTCTCTAGCTGAATTTTGAACAGAGAAGTTGACTTAATAAAAGTGCTGGAAAGAAAGTATATCAGTGATTGCCTGAGGGTAAGGTGAGGGTGATGGGACACGGAAGAGGCCGAAGGGAGGGTTTACGAAGGGTCAGGAGGAAACATTTGAGGTGTGGATATATTCACTGCTGTGATTGTGGTTATGATTTCCCATGTGTGTGTATGTGTACATGTTAAAATTTGTCAAATTGTGTACTTTAAACGTGCAGTTTATTGTGCATAAATTATTCCTGAATAACACTGTCATTTAAGAGAGAGAAATGTGCTAGAACTCCTATGTCCAACTGCTGAAATTATTGTCAGGGCCAGTTTACAAACTGGGCACTAAAATTAGTCTCATTAGTTTTAGTCACACCTTTAACCTTACTTATTTATTTATTTATTTTAGACATGAAGTCTTACTACCTTGGCCAGCCTGGTCTTGAACTCCTGGCCTCAAGTGATCCTCTTGCCCTCAAGTGATCCTCTTGCCTTAGCCTCCCAAAGTTCTGGGATTACAGGCATGAGTCACCATACCCAGCCTACCTCCAACATTTTTGTAAACCAAAGATTAATATTATGTAATTTAATGATGTCTTTAAATCATCAAAATTGATTTTAAATAACTTAACCATTTTCAAAAATTAAATGTGTCTTCAAGAGGCAAATATTTGCTCCTATTAAGAAACACTCACGGGCCGGGCGTGGTGGCTCACGCCTGTAATCCAAGCACTTTGGAGGCCAAGGCGGGCGGATCACCTGAGGTCGGGAGTTCAAGGCCAACATGGTGAAACCCCACCTTTAAAAAAAAAAAAAAAAGAAACACTCACAAATGGCTCTTATGGGAATTAACTTCTTAGAAGGGAGCCTGATGGATTTAATAAGAATGGCCTAGATTTCTTTTATAATTACGCTTTGGTGGAAAGGCACAAAGGTTGGTCAGTTTGACAGAGGGGTCCTGGGGTCACTTCACCATTAACCTTTTTCCCTTCCCACAGAGAGGAAATGCCTGAAGTTTAAAGGACTGGTCCAGTTCCAGAGCAGAATATGTCCTGTGGTATACATAATTTTTTCACATGTAGATGTTTTATGTTAATTTAAAGCCTTTATGTTGCATGATTATTTTTCCCCTGCAGTTTCTTGTGAAGCTGTAGCCAAGACTCCACTCTGGGCTCCATCTTTGTGCCATAACTCTGTCACTCTGCGGCTACATTGGTGGAAGATGAATAATTATTCTAGCAGCATGACTTTCTGACTAACAAATTAAGCCCGATATTTATTAGTAATAACTGCTTTCTCTTACAGTGGATAATGAAAAACTGCAGGGTGGATTCATGTTGTGTTTCCTGGATGATGGATGTGGCATGAGCCCTGGTAAGTTAATTGTCGGGATACCTAAGTGGCTGTTTAATGAAACAGTCTGAAAACCTACAAAATAAATAAAAATAAATTGAGCTATCTATTCAAAAACAGGTATGAAGCTATTAAGGAAAAACTTATTGTTGAACTTTTTAGGTTTACCTATCCCAGCTGGCAGAGTAAATTTATTGTAACCATCTAAAGCAAGACAAAAAGTAAATGTACATAAATATTGTCAGAAAAATGAAAGGCAAATGTTACTGATTGTAAGAAATAGGCATCTGGGAATGAATGGAAGACAAACAGTCACTGAGTGGACTCCAAGACTGTTTTTTAGCTCATCCTTTAGGTATTGCTTGTGAGAGCCCCAGGCAGTTTCTTGTACCTTTAGGCTATTTTTAATTTTGCTTAACCTTGAGGTAGAGATTACCTCTTCTTGTTTTTAGCCTTGTTTTTTCCTCTGCATTTTGAAAGATTTAGTTGCTTCAAATGAATGTTCCCATCATAATGAACGCATCTACAATAGATCTCATGACTTATCTTTGTGTATTCAAGGTTAGCACAAAGCCAGCAACATTATGGGTACACAGTGTCTGTGTGCTGTGAAAGTGAAATGTTATTCCATCTGAGGGCATTGGGCTGTTTTAGATATTGTATTCCTGAATTCTTTCAACACTGTGTGTTCCACAAGCTGGGGTTTTTGACCACTAGATTTAAAAAATGATGAGAGAGTTCAAGTAATATGGAACGGCCATGGTGAGTTCCATAACCAAGGAAAGCATGCATCGATATGCTCAGTTATTGATTTGCTGATAGAAGCTGAGAATTTGAAGTACAGCAAATGTCTTCTTTCAGCTCTGAAGTTTCTTCTTGGTCTGAATAGTTGAAGAGTGTTTATTAACAAGTTTAGAAGGACTGTTTCACCAGTTTTGTTCTGACTTTGGGTAATTTTGATTTTTCCAGTTCATTTTAATTGAAGGTGTTCTTGGTCTTTTAGTGTTTAACTAAACGAGAAAGAAGAGTTTGTAACAACAACAAAAACCCACGCTGAAAAAAGTAATTTTTCACTTCTAGCCTGAATATTAAGTTCATTTTTTTAAGTTCCTAAAATAAATGACAGAATGTATGTGATATATTCTAAGGGAATTTCTTATGAAAAGAAGCAACTCTTTTTATATGGGTCATGAACAAAATGTTTGAAACACAGACAAATGACGAATATTCAGACCTTCAGAAGAAACTCAACGCTTTAGCTACATAGTAGCATCAAGTAGTAATAAAGATGAAGGAAGATGACTAAAAGTTGAATCTATCCCTTGTTCAAACGGAGCTAGATCAATCTTGACCTATAGAAAATGACTACAGTACTTTCTGGGTTTTTAAAAAAAATCTCTAGTCTTGCTCCTTTATAGTCCATTCCCCACGTAGCATCCTGAGTGGTTTTCTTTCTTTTAATGTTCATTTTATCGTATCATTTTCCTGCTGAAAACTCTCAGTGGTTTTCCATTACTTGATAAAATTTGTGCTCTCAGCATTGCTTCCAAGGCCTTATATTATTTGGCCCTGTGCGCCCCTTCGGCCTTTTCTTATTCTTCCCACTTCCTCACTTAGGACACTGTACGCACACGCGGCTAGCCCCTCATCATTGGAATCCATCTCATGTTAACCATCTGCCAGTGGCCTTCCCTGATCATTCCTCCTGCAGGCGACATTCCTGTTAATTCTCTATCGCCTTATCCTGGTTTTGTTTTCTTCACTTAATACTCTCAGTCAGAAATGATCTTAGTTTAATTTCAATCTGTTTCTCTTACCAAGACATAATGTTGTCCAAGGCAGGAGCTATGCTGGCCTGTTGAGTGTTTTATTCCTATGCTCAGAACCTGGCAACCATGCATGTGCATTCACATACTGTATAATGAACACATGGGATTTGGTTCAGAGCGATACCGTGTCAGTACCAAGACTTTGGGTTATGATCCTAGCTGTACCGTCTGTCAGCTCTGTGACCTTGAGCAGTTTTCTTAAACTCCTTAGACTTACATTTGCTCATCTGTGACATGCAGGTCATAATAATAATACCACCTTTCTTGTTTTGTTTTAAATATTAAGCTGTGCATGTAAGTTTATAACATAGTACCTAGCATGTACTAAACAAATAATAGGCTGGGCGTGGTGGTTCACACCTGTAATCCCAGCAGTTTGGGAGGCTGAGGTGGGCAGATCACAAGGTTAGGAGTTCGAGACCATCCTGGCCAACATGGTGAAACCCCATCTCTACTAAAATACACAAAAAAAAATAATTAGTTGAGCATGGTGGTGCGTGCCTATAGTCCCAGCTACTCAGGAGGCTGAGGCAGGGAAATTGCTCGAACCTGGGAGGTGGAGGTTGCAGTGATCTGAGATCGGGCCACTGCATTACAGCCTGGCGACAGAGCGAGACTTCATCTAAAACAAAACAAAACAAAAAACAAAAAACCAATACATGTTAGCTAACATTGTCATTATGGATATCCTCACCTAATGCCTAATCCCTCCTAAGAACACATCATAGAAAGTCCAGTTAGTTTCAGAGAAGCAGAGTATTTGGTGGCTTTTACATACCTCATACCATGTGCCACTGAACTATAGCATGTCTGTACCCAGACTGACACAGGGTCCTCAGGACAATTCTACAGCATGTATTCAGGTAGACCATCAAGAAAAACATTCTTGGTCCTGGAGGATGGTATTAATATATTCTGAAGTCCAAAGGATTACTCTCCGGAATTCCAGAATACCTGGAGAGGTCAGGAGAATGACTTGGAAAGTCCCTCCCAGGAAGTATCAGAGCAGAAGCCATCCTGTCCCTCTTAGTCTCATGTGGGCCTGGTTAAGGGCTAAATTTGTGGGGAAATTACTAGTGGTACAAATAATTATAACACTTATAATTTGTTAGCACCCAGCAAGTGCCAAGTTTTGCATTCGGAATTTCACAAATACATCATCTCCATTAATTTATTTCATTTATCTTCGTCAGCAACACCATGATAAAAGTATTAAGTAGTTCCCTCTTACAGACTTTTAAACTCTATCTAAGGTCACATGATTAGGTCTGTCTCATCTCCTTTAGTATCCAATTGTTTCTCAGTATCTGTAGGGTATAGATTCCAGGACCTTTCTAGGATACTAACAGCTGTGGATGACGAAGTCCATGAAAGAAAGTGGCGCAGTATTTCCATGTAACACCTATACATCCTTCTGTATACTTTAAATCTTCTCTAGATTCCTTATAATACCCAATGCAGTATAAATGCTATTAGTTGTTACACTTTGTTGTTTAGAAAATAGTGACCCCCGCAAAAAAAAAAAAAAAAAAAAAAAAAAATTCTGTACATGGTCAGTCCAGGTGCAATTTATTTTTTTCCTGAATATTTTTGGTCCAACATTAGTTGAGTCCATGAATGTGGAGCCCGCAGTACCTTGGGCTGACTGTAATACCGTTAAGACCTTTGTCAGAGACTATGGATCCTGATGAAAATCCTTGTCTCTGGGCTGACCCAAGAGCTATGGATTTGCCCTGATGTTCTGAGGACATGTGAGGTCCTGACAACTGGGCCTTAGGCCAGTATCAGAGTCTTCCTAACCACCTTAAAAGTCACTGTCAATTACAGAGGAAGCTTCAGATATCATTTACTTTGGAAGATCCAAAAAACGGCTGTCAACCTTGAAGTTCATTGGGCAATACGGCAATGCTCTTAAAAGGTAAGCATTTTTTTCCCCCTTAAGACATACATTATTGGTATTGGGAATACTGTTTAGTTAAAGCAACTTACACAGAATGATGTAGGCATGTGAAGCTTTAAAAAGAATATAAACTTGAGTCAGGGTGTGACCTACTACTTTGTTTTGGAATTTCCATATCCATAACTGACTTTTTTTTTTTTTTTGAGACAGTCTCACTCTGTCACCCAGGCTGGAGTGCAATGATGTGATCTCGGCTCACTGCCATCTTGGCCTTCCAGGTTCAAGAGCCTCTGCTGCCTCAGCCTCCTGAGCAGCTGGGATTACAGATGCGAGCCACCATGCCCAGCTAATTTTTGTATTTTTGTAGAGACAGGGTTTCACTGTGTTGGCCAGGCTGGCCTTGAACTCCTGACCTCAAGTAATCTCCCTGCCTCTGCCTCCAAAAGTGCTGAGGTTACAGGCATGAACCACTGCACCTGGCCCATAACTGACTTCTATCTTTATAACATTTTAAAAGTTAATTCTCCCATGTAATAAGATAAATCCTTTTTCAGGGATTCCTGAAGTAGTACCCCTAGACTTTAGGGCTTTGTTTCATCTCTCTGTTCTGTTGTTTCTCAAAGCATACTTTAACCTAGGTGCTGGGCCTGCAGCTCATTTTTTTAGTATACTGCGTTGAAAGGTGAGGACATGAGGCTCACTTGTGTGGCTCCTGCCTGAGATAGATGATTGTTCTTTTGAGCCCTGAATGGACCCTTTCCCCAGCAGCCAAATCTCAAGCAAGAGTATGGGACTGGCTTAGCTCAAATTCTTCTACTTTACTTAAAAAAAACATTTGTACCCTCTTAATGACGGGTCAGCAAAACAGAATGTTGGAAAGAACATCTTGACAGTACATAGTGGTAACAGCCTGCCTGTTCTTCCTTTTCAGTATTTGAGATTTAAAACATGATGTTCTTCCTTTTTAATATAGTGGGTCCATGAGAATTGGAAAAGACTTTATTCTTTTTACGAAGAAGGAAGAAACGATGACCTGTGTATTTTTTTCTCAGACGTTCTGTGAAGAAGAAGGTCTTAGTGAGGTAAGAGTTGAGGCTTTCCTTCTGCTCCCATAACAATGGCATTGCTTTCATTTACCCTCTCAGAAGGTGAAGTCTTGTCATGGGTTCTTTCTGATATGATTTAGAAACTTAGGAATATGTTTGGGAAATGCAGAGAAGGTATTTAGACATTCTGGGGACATCAAAGGCCTATCCTCGTGACTCTTTCCTGAAAACATTTTCATTATCCATGTGCTCAAATCTCCCAAAATAAGAGGCTCCCTTAGGCATGATGAGCTTTTTAGAAGAAACCTGTGAAATCTTTCCATCATATGTGCCATAAATGGATTGTCATTTTAAAAATAAATGAAATATTGGAGTCAAAGATTTGGAATACAAAATGTAAAGAAATTGAATGCAAAATGGACTTAAAACTGTAACTCTGGTGACCATAATTTCAACTCCTTTAGCTGATCCAGAAGCATTCTGTTAATTATAAGTGCCTGAGTTTTATTATTATGACTGTCAGTTATGATTACATACAACAAATGCATGTTGAGGAACTACTCTCTGCCTAGTACTGGATAGACTCTATGGAAGGTGGAAAAGAAGCAGAAGATCATATGGCCATCTCAGAGTTTTCAGCTTTATCACAAAATAAGGTAGACATATATGAATTGGATTTAAAAAATGACAGTATTTAAAAACAATGCTCCTCAATGAGTCTGTGTGTCAGCCTTTAGCAGATTATCAAAAGCAATGATATGGATGGAGAGATTAGAGGGCCTCGAGTGGCCAATGAGGGTTTTATGGAGAGAGTACAACTTGTAGCTGGAAAAGCTGGTACTGTGGAGTAATGGCCCTAACAAGTCTCAGACCTGGAGATGCATGTGGAGTTTGGATGGACGGTGTGGTGCTGTGGACTGCCGGTGGGTGGGGCTGGGTGACAGGAGCAGTCTGCAGGCAAAAAAGGAGTCAGCCATGTGGGAGCCTGATCTGAGGAAAAACGATGCTTTAAGCATTGATGTTGCATATTACGTGTGTAAAGGGCTTGGAAAATTGGGCTAACCCTTAATTACAGCTTTCTTAAAATGGGCCACCCCCCTTTTTTTAAAAAAAAACTAAAGACAGCAACCACTTCCCATTTCTACTTCCACAGAGACAACCTCTTGCAACAATATTAACAAGTTTTATCTGGGCACGGTGTAGTACCTCTGTAGTCCCAGTTAACCTGGGACACTGAAGAGGGAGGATCACTTGAGCCTAGTAGTTTGAGCCCAGCCTGAGCAACATACTGAGACCCTGTCTCAAAAAATGCAAAATAAAAAAGCCTGTTCTTTTGACATTTACCTGCATGTCTCTAAATAGCATGCTTGTATTGCCACTTCTTGATTTTATGTAGGCATTATCTATTAACCTCCCACTTTAAAAGAGGATTTACCTACCCTTTTTCTTGGCTTTTATCATATAATCAATCTTCTTATCTCCCATTCTCAACATCGCTTTAATTTTAGTTATGGCAATATTCAGTATTTACTTTATAAGACTTTATAAACACTGTTCAAATTATACCAAGTCATAACCTATTATTTTTCCTTTTAATGTACAACTTATTTCCCCTAAAATTAATAATTGACTGCTTAGATTTTTATGTGTATTACTACCTCTGAATATTTGCTTGGTTTTCTGTGTTCATGTCACTGTGCTAACCCCAGTCTCAAAATGCTGTCTTTTTGGTCCCTTCATCCCAAAGTTTGCCCGGGGCCTTTTCCTGTACCGCAGCTCACACTCCTGCCTCCATGGCGGTGTTCAGCTGCTGTCCTGGGATCTGCCCTTGCCATCATCCTGGTGATTCCCTTTCCCTCTCTTCTGTGTCAGCTCTCAGATTCTAGATCTCATGTCTTCTTCTGTAGCTTGCTGCTGCTTCTTGGTACAGCATGTTCTCCAGTGACTTCTTGAGCAAGGGAACACAGGGGACAAAATATTTGGAGACCTCACATGCATTACAAGGTTTTTGTTCTACCCTAACACTTCATGATAGTTGGGCTTGGTATTATTTCTAGGTTGGAATTTCTTTCCCTTCACGATTTCTTTCTTTCTTTTTTTGAGACGGAGTTTTCGCTCTTGTTACCCAGGCTGGAGTGCAATGGCGCGATCTCGGCTCACCGCAACCTCCGCCTCCTGGGTTCAAGCAATTCTCCTGCCTCAGCCTCCTGAGTAGCTGGGACTACAGGCACGCGCCACCATGCCCAGCTAATTTTTTGTAGTTTTAGTAGAGACGGGGTTTCACCATGTTGACCAGGATGGTCTCGATCTCTTGACCTCATGATCCACCCGCCTCGGCCTCCCAAAGTGCTGGGATTACAGGCTTGAGCCACCGCGCCCGGCTCCCTTCACGATTTCTAAGGTTTTGCTCCATTATCTAGTTTCTAGTGTTGTTATTGAGAAGTCTCAAGCCATTTAATTGCTTAATCTTTTATGTGACCCATTCGTTTTCTATTTTTTTTTTTTTTTAAACTTTACTGTTTGAAGATCAAAATAATCTTCTTTGTCCCAGTATTCTGATTTCAATGTTTTGCCTTTGCCTGGTCTATTTACATCCACTGTGCTGGTCACTTGTTGGGTCTTTTTGATTCAGAAACTCATATTCTTCAATTCTGGGATAGTTTCTTGTAATATCTGATGATTTTCTTCTATTCATATTCTCCTTTTTATCTTTTTGTAACTCCTGTTTTTTAGCTATTAGATTCTGGAAATGGTTCTCTAATTTTCTTAGCCTTTCTTTCCTGTTTTTATATTTTTGTTATTTTTTTTCTGGAAGATTTTCTAACATTTGTTTTTGAACCCTTTTGTTACCAGAAAGGGGTATCCAGACCCCAAGAGAGAGTTCTTGGACCTCATGCAAGAAAGAATTCAAGGCGAGTTCATAGAGTGAAGTGAAAGCAAGTTTATTAAGAAAAAAGTAAAGGAATAAAAGAATGACTACTCCTTAGGCAGAACAGCAGCCTCGGCTGCTCAACTGAGTATACCTGTAGTTACTTTTTGATTATATGCTCAACAAGGGGCTGATTATTCATTAGTTTTCCAGGAAAGGGGTGGGCAAGTCCAGGAACTGAGGTTTCCTCCCATTTTTAGATCATATAGGGCAACTTCCTGACGTTGCCATGGCACTTGTAAACTGTCATGGCACTGGTGAGAGTGCCTTTTAGCATGCTGATATGTTATAATTAGCATATAGTGAATAGTGAGGATGACCAGAGATCACTTTCATCACCATCTTGGTTTTGGTGGGATTTGACCAGCTTCTTTGTGAAGCTGGATCAGTAGGGTCTTTGTTACCTGTATCTTGTGCCCACTTCCAATCTCATCCTGTGACTAGGAATGCCTACCATGGAAATGCAGCCTGGTAGCTCTCAGCCTTATTTGACCCAGCCCCTGTTCAAGATGGAGTCACTCTGATTCAAAGGCCCCTGACACTTTCACTGATTTTTTTTTTCTGTAATCATAATCTTAATTTCTAAGACATCTTTCTTATTCTCTGAATGTTTCTTTTTCAAGGATATCTCATTTCTGTTTCATGGATTCAGTATTTTCTTGTATAACTCTGAAGATATTAACAATAATTGATTTTTGCCCTGTTGAAATTTTCATCTTTTTTTATGGTTTCTGTTTTCACTGAGTTGCTTTGTTTATGATCGTTTGTTCTCTATTATCATATAAGAGGCTTTTCTTAGATGGCCATTAATTCTGAATATGTTAAAGATTAGTCCAATAAAATGCTGAGTGTGAGCTCTGAGAGTGTGAGTGGGGCTTAGCTGCTGTGACTGTCACAATAATGTGATCTAACTGAGCCTTTTTATTGGGGAATCCTTAATATAATTGTCTTTGTGTCTTCCTTTCTGGGTTGGTCAGATTTTTATAAGAAAGACTTCTAGTCTTCTGCCTATAGGCCTGTCAGCTTCTAGGAGACAAATGGGAGTCGAGATCTGAGGTTCTCAGCATCTGCAAAGTATACTTTCACTCGGTCCATCTAATCTCAGCAAGGTGCCCAACAGCAGTGTCTGGCATGTCTTCCAGTCTAGAAATCAATTTCTCTTTCCAGAAAATAAATATCCAGACCCTGGGAGTTGGAGACGAGCTGTTGTCAGATGGGGATCTAGATGTTACTTCTGGTTCTTCTTTCAACACCAACTCTAGAGTTAACGCTTGCCATCAGTCCCTGAGCCTTTCACTGTAGGAATTCTGAATTGCAAATCAGGCTGGCTTTTCTTTCTGGCTTGGGCTTTAGATTGCTTTTCTTGCGCATGCTGTCATCTGCTTTTCAACTTTTAAAATGCTGATTCTGTTGTTTCCTCTGCCATTCTACCCTTCAAGAGGGAGTGGAAGTACACTCCATCTGTTCCCGTATTCCGCGATGGAGTATTTTAAAATACAATTCTGTCTATACACATTTGTTATGTGTCTCTTATACAACTAGATTGTAGGAGGAAAATGAACTTTTAACTTAGTGTTTTGTAATTTGTCTAGATGAAGAGTGGAATTAAATAGATAAGACAAAAGAATAATGTTTTTTGTGTATTTCATAATAAATTGATTTTTTAATAGGTTGTAGTTCCAATGCCCTCGTGGTTAACAAGAACCAGAGAATCTGTCACAGATGATCCCCAGAAATTCTCAATGGAATTATCTATAATTTATAAATACTCCCCATTTAAAACTGAAGCCGAATTGATGCAGCAATTTGATGTGATCTATGGAAAATGTGGTAAGATCATCAAAACTCTGACAATTTGATGGAAGTATTTGTGTTCAGTGTCTTATGAAAGACACTGTACATGTGTTTTCATATTTTTTTGTTCTTATAAGCTCATGTAGATTCACACTGGGGACAGTCATTTATTTTATCCATATGAGCTTTGTCTTAAGAGCATCCAAACATGAAGTACTGTAAATCCCTGACACTGGGAGAAGGATGTGTACTTGCATGAGCTTGGTGAAACTGGGTGAGAAGAGGATGGTTTAGGCTGTGACCACTGGGACCCCACAGTTGCTGCACTAGATAGCAAAGTTGGGAGGTACTTACTGCATCATTTGAGATAGGGTCATAACAGGTGTGTAAAGAGAGTTAGAAACTTGTAAAATAACAAATTCATGTTTCTGTGGCAAACAGCAAAAGCATTATAGACATTCTTCTCTAGATTAGCAGATCTTTTCCCCATTCTTTCCACCTCCACCACCTTTCTGTTCAACATGTCGAATGTACTGTATCTATTGACACAGTTGATCCAGGATTTAGACACAGGCATTTAGGCTTCAAAACCCATGTTCTTAGCTACTATGCTATTCTCCCTTGTGTTTAAGAACTACCAAAAAGGAAAGTATAATTAGTTGTCTTTTTAATTTCTCTGATGATCCTGTTTGGCTTAATGTCATAATCAACTGGAAATAATTTGGACTTTTTCTGTTAACCATGTCTTGGAGCAGGGCTCAGCAAATTATGGTCTCAAATCAAATGTGACCCCGTATCTGTTCTTGTAAATTAAGTTTTATTGGAACACAACCACACTCATTCATTTATGCATTCTCCATTGCTGCTTTCATGCCGCAGTGGCAGAGCTGCATTGTGAATAGTTGCGACAGAGACTGTATGGCCTGCAAAGCCTAAAATATTTACTATCTGGCCCTTTACAGAAAGAATTTACCAACACCTGCTATAGTGTATGAAAACAATATTTCTTATTTGTACAATATTTAAAAACCCCTCTTTGTTTTTATATGTGTTGAATTCAGTACTACCAATGAGAGCTTTACCTATAACACAAGGCTCAGGCTCTTAACAAATTTTATAATGCAAATTATGAAAAGAGTGCCAAAATTTAAAAATCCACATTGAAAGACTTGTAGTGAATTGAATAGTAATAAGAGGCACCATACTGTAGAAACTCAACACTCTTTGGCAGGGAGTGAAACTTGTTACTTGGCTTAGCCCAAGACTTAGCCAAACATACTATTTACTAAAGTACAAACGAAAATTCTATAGCAGACTCAGTTGCATAGATGAGACGATAGTACAATGACTAGCATTTTTGCATATTTAAAATACTGACGAGTCAAACATCTATTTTTCTACCAGGTACTTTGCTGGTTATTTATAACTTGAATCTTCTGCTTAATGGAGAACCAGAGTTGGATGTTAAAACAGACAGAGAAGACATACTGATGGCTGGAGCTCTGGAAGAGTATGTGTTTGACAGAATGTCTTTCAACAATGGTGGTGAGCTAGAGTTAGGAGCCCTGCGTCCTGGCTCCAGGTCTGAGGTCACTTGGCCTTAGCACTGGGACAATTCATCTTACCCTAGTTGCCGATAAAGTTAGGCTAGACTACTGGTTTCCAAACTTTGTCTAAACCTCAGAGTGACCTGGGATGTTTCTTGAGAAGTATAGGATCTGGGGCCCATCTCAACCTACTGAGTCAGAATGTCCAGATATCAAGCATAGGTATCAGTCTTTTTTCAGACGTTCTCCAGGTGATTCAGAAGTGCCAGTATGTTTAGGGACCACTGGAATATAAGACTTCCAAAGTTCTCTAATACCTTGATGTGGTTGTTCAGTCAAGGTGGTGGCAAAAATATTAAGGGAAAAATATTAGGGATAGTTATAGGAAATAGTCACAAAACCCCCTTCAAAGGCCAGGTGGTTTACATAGCTTCAGATGAGAGAATGGGGGCTGAAGGCGGCTAGTTCTTTTATCTTGAGGCTTGAAGCATAGAGCAGTTAACAGGGGAATGCAAAGGAGTTTATCGAAATGGCTTGTTGTCCTAAGACCAACTTTTACCCGTCTGCACTTGACTGTCTCCTATTCGGGGGTTGGCAGAAGTTTATTACCCACAAATGGAGTTTGCTTTAAGCCTCAGAACCTGGCCTTTAATCTTTACTCTCTAGTGCTGTTGACTCAAAGCCTTTGTCATTTAATGTCTGCTGAATAAAGGCCAGCAAGGCCAGGGAGTTGGGGCCAGTGGCCATTAACTTCTTTGGTTGAATGGCCATGGACCCCCTTCCTGCTCTTTCACTGTATTCTGTGTTTGAGTGAATTTATTCATCTGTCACGGGTTTGGGGTCTGCCTGTTGGACCCCATCAGTGGTGCCCCTGAATGAGGAAACTCATCACTTTGACTCCTAATTTATAGATATTAAAACTGAAAAAATAAAAAGAGTTTATTATTCATTACAGGTCATTAAAAATGGACAGGCATCAGGATAGTGTGAAGCAAAGAGGAATATGAGCAAATGGCAATTTTATTATTATTTGTCCAGAATGTCTCTGTGAACTGCATATTTGCAGTAAATAAATAAACAGACATTCATTTTTTATTGGCTACCAGGGATCTATAGGGAACAGAGCAAGAAGATACTGAGAGGCCTGTGTGAAAGGGTGTGGAGAAAGAATGAAATAGTCACAAAAGCTGGGTTTCTCTAAAATATCATTATTACTTAAAACTTAGTAGCGTGAGCTGGCAGTTTTTTAGTCTCAGAACACTACAGCTAGAAGAGCTTGTAAAAGTAATTTAATCCAGTGTGATTTATTTTGTATTTCAGTGTTGTATAATAGAAATATAATGAGAGCCAGAATGAGGGACAAAGTGAATCTTAAATTTTCTGGTAGCCACATTAAGAAAAATAAAAAGAATAGGTGAAATTAATTTTAATAATGGTTTTATTTAATCCAATATGTCTGAAATATTGTCATTTAAATTTCAATATGAAAAATATTGATGATATTTATATTCTTTTCTTAATACAAAGTCTTTGAATCCAGTGTGTGTTTTGCAACATACTGCATGTATGAATTTGACTAATGCCCAATAGCCACAGGTGGCCAGTAGCTACCACATGGTTTTAGACTAAGGTGTTAAGACCCAAGTAGACACATCGGGTTAACAGAGAACTTATTTTGTTTTTCCCTATGAGGTGAAATTTAGAAATTTCTTTCCACAGTTAGCAAATTTTATATTTGATAACACACTTTTAGATTATCTTCTCTCCTTATTTCTGATGTATATTTTTTCTCATATTCCAACATGTGGAATTCCTGATATACACAGAAATGTTTTCTTTTCTTTTGAAAAAAATATTCAGTGTAATGGCTGTTCCACAAATGCTGGGAACCTCTGTGCCAGCATTAATATGCCAGTGTCAGAAAGGAGTCCCAGGATTATCAGCATCTCCATTACTGTCTTCCCCTTTTCCTGCTGCCTCTGCCCTTGTACTTGCCAGCTGGTTCCAAAACCAATATTTCATGCTATTTAAAAGCTTTGAACACACATTTTGAAACAGTTATCTGTCAGAGTGCCTTGGCATTTCTACACTGGCATTAGAAAACAATACATTATTAGAGGGATAATTTGACAGCTATATCTTTGGAAAGATGTTCTTGCTGTTTCCAGATTGTGTAATGAATCCAGAGCTTCTCTAGCCATTTAGGCAGTTAATTACAAAATAAAGAAAATGAATTGGACCTAAAACATGTACACTTTCACTTTGGCACATAGATCACACTGGATTTTTACATTTGTTTTTCAGCAAAATTTTTTTAGTTTGATCACAAGAAAAGCCTTTAAAGACAGGGCTAGGATTTTATAAGGAAGAATCAATTTTATAAGGAAGAATTTTCTGTAGCATTCATAATTTCTGAACCAAGGATGCTATACATTTCATGACCTCTGACATGAGTACTATGATGGTACCAGGAAGGGATAGCATCACCACCTCCTTGGGGGTAGTAGTGCCTCTGTAGTTTTCTCCTGTAAAAGGTTTGCCTTTGGGCTGGACGTGGTGACTCATGCCTGTAATCGCAGCACTTTGGGAGGCCGAGGTGGGTGGATCACAAGGTCAGGAGTTCAAGACCAGCCTGGCCAAGATGGTGAAACCCCGTCTCTACTAAAAATATAAAAAATTAGCCAGGTGTGGTGGCACGTACCTGTAATCCCAGCTACTCAGGAGGCTGAGGTGTAGAATTACTGAAACCCGGGAGGTGGAGGTTGCAGTGAGCCGAGATCGCATCACTGCACTCCAGCCTGGGCGACAGAGCGAGACTCCATCTGAAGAAAAGAAAAGGTTTGCCCTTAAATCCACCTCATTATTTATTTAGACCTACTGTCTCCTCCCCATCACTCCCAATCTCCCTTTAAACTTAGAACATATATATATGTATATACATATATACACTTTTTTTTTTTTTTTTGATGGAATCTTACCCCGTTGCCCAGGCTGGAGTGCAGTGGTGTCATCTTGGCTCACTGCAACCTCCGCCTCCCAGGTTCAAGCAATTCTCATGCCTTAGCCTCCCAAGTAGCTGGTATTATAGGCATGTGCCACCCAGCCTGGCTAATTTTTTTGTGTTTTTAGTAGAGACAGGATTTCACTATGTTGGCCAGGCTGGTGTTGAACTCCTGATTTCAGGTGATGTGCCCACCTCAACCTCCCAAAGTGCTGGGATTACAGGCGAGAGCCACCACACCTGGCCAACATACATGTATTTTTAACTTGTTAAAAAAATAGTACATAGTTAGCCACACAAAATTATGGACAATGGTGTTGTCCCATAGGTTCTAACATTTACACCCAATTACTCATCGGTAAGAGACTAGAAAAAAACATTAATTCTTAGTCATAAAGGATTAGTTCTGGTCCAAGGTAGATCTTTTTTCTAAGTCCTCTTTTATTTATGGTTTCTGATATTTGAGCCTTTAATCCAGTGCAGTTTACAATACAACACCTTTTTTTTTTTTTACAATTTCTTTTTCTGGTGATTATTGTATCCCTTTATCACTACTGGATAGGATTCTACATCTGTACAAAACAATTTTCAGATCTTGAAATGATGTAATTTTCAGGTTTGGTCTTAGACAGTAGAGTCCTGTTGATTCTGAAAATAATTTAATTTTCTGTGTGGGAATATGGAAATTCAAACTTTCAAGCTTTTATTGGACCTCAGGGAAGAGGTGTTTTGTTATTATTTATTTTCCTCCTAATATTATTTATTGTAAAATCAAAAATGAAACAATGTTTTAAAACATTTTTAAGGAAATTAATTTCTATATTATGATTCATTTTTATTGCATTTTGCTGTTTTTAAGTGTAATATTTCATTTTTTAAATTTATGATTTGCCTCTAAACATTATACTAAGTTATCCTCTAATCTTGATATGTCATGTTTCATAAGTGGCTTATAATAGTCCATTGAATTAATTTATTATAATTTGCATAATTATTCCTGTATTTTTGGGTAGTAGCATTGGTCCCAGTGTTTCACATTGTTTATGGATAATGTTGAAATAAACATATTATGTAGATGAACTTTTTTATGTTTTGAATTTTTTTAATGATAAGTTTCCAGGAAGGGAACTACTGAGTCAAAGAGTCTGAACTTTCATATAATTCTTGTGAATATTTGACATTTTTTTTGGTTGTTTTTTGTTTTTGAGATGGAGTTTTGCTCTTGTTGCCCAGGCTGAAGTGCAGTGATGTGATCTTGGCTCACTGCAACCTCCGCCTCCCAGGTTCAAGCAAGTCTCCTGTGTCAGCCTCTAAAGTAGCTGGGATTACAGGCATGTGCCACTGCTCCTGGCTTTTTTTTTTTGTATTTTTAGTAGAGACGGGGCTTTACCATGTTGGTCAGGGCAGTTTCAAACTGCTGACCTCAGGTGATACTCCCACCTTGGCTTCCTCAAAGTGCTGGGATTACAGGTGTGAGTCACTGCACCCGGCCTTGACATTAGCTTTAAACATAGGTTTCAAAACCTTTTATCATTGTGCTTTGGGCCGAGGCACTAACAGCAGTAATCAGACCAGTGGCAGGGTCTTCTGTCAAGATGACAGGCACGTCAAGAGAATTTTAGTAGAAGTGGTGTTCAGGCGCATGGTCAGTAGTGTCCTGTGGTTTGGAAATATTAGTTCACTTAAAAAAAATTCGAATAGATAGCAGTCATCAGAATTTCAGAATGCGCATGATACAGAAGTCTGCATTTTACGTGTGAATTATTGAATTTTGAATTGTGAATGTGATTTATGGAGAGCGCCAGGGAATCATACATAGGGTTATATGCAGAAAGTGAGTTGAATTTGCAGGACAAAAATTATCTTAAATTTATATGTCACCATAAACTTAGGCAGTGTTTCCTGAAAGGGAAGAAGATACAAAAAATAACTTCATAAAAAAATCAAAGGAAAATGAAGATT